TTATACTTGGAATTTAGTAAAATCCTTTAGCAAAAATGCGAAAATGCTTTGTTGAATTTTAGCGTTTTTGAGGGGTCTTTTCGCATTTTGCGAAAAAAGCTACCGTAGCGGAAACCCTGTTTCGTACCTTTTGAAAGTGGTAAAGTGATCATAGTTTTACATTTCCGCATGAAACAAATACTATAAATAGTACAACATTCAAACATTCATTTGAAGAGAAGACGTCAAGATGAGTGTACCGTACGTTTGTTGCGTTAAAAAATTTGAAGAACATTATGCGAGTCAAATCGGCTCTGGCTTACCCTATTATAAAGGTATTAATTTCCAAAAAGGCTATGGACTTGGAGGTATATTTCGACGATTATTTAGAGCAGCACTACCCTTTCTGGTAAAAAGTGGTAAAACTATTGGAAAAGAAGTTTTAAAAAGTGGAACCCGTGTTGCATCTGATGTATTGTCTGGAGAAAACTTTGAGGAAGCCGTTAAAACAAGAGCTAAAGAGGGTGGAAAAAATTTAGCTCGAAAAGCTATTGATAAAGTACAATCAATGGTGGGAAAAGGACAGTATAAAAGGAAGCGTAAGAAACAGAAAAGAATCATTTTATCTAAAGCTCGCAAAGTGAGAGGACGTGATATTTTTGATCCATAATGGCATTTCTATTGAAAGATTCTCCCGAATGTGTGAAATCTGAATTGGAGTTGTTTAGCTTACCTATTACTCAAACTGTTATTCAAGATGGTCAGTGGATACAGTTTCATCCACTTTCTAACGTGTTTGACAATGCACCTGTAGAGTTTCACGTTTCAGGAAGTGCTGAAGATTACATAGATCTCAGCCAAACTCAATTGTTTGTGAAGGCAAAAATTGTAAAAAGTGATAATACTCTCATCACTAAAGATGATACTATTGGACCTGTGAATTTATTTCTTCATTCGTTATTTTCTCAAGTTGATATTTCATTGAATGATCGTATTGTATCCAATTCAAGTAATACTTATCCTTATCGAGCCTACATAGAAACTCTCCTCAACCATGGATACGATAGCAAAACTTCTCAATTAACAGCTGAATTATTTTACAAAGATTCTGATGATGGCTTGAAGAAAAGAATTGCTTCTATCAAAGAAAGTGCTACTGTGGATATGATTGGGTGTATACATTCCGATTTATTTCACCAAGAGCGTTTGTTACTCAATTTGGTGGATGTGAAAATAAAATTGATACGGAGTAAGCCAGAATTTTGCTTACAAGGATCTGACGGATTTAAAGTAGTATTAGATCATGTGTCTTTGTTTATCCGAAAAGTTCGTGTGAATCCAGGAGTGATACTTGGTCATGCAAAGGCATTAGAAAAAACGAGTGCCAAATATCCCATCAATCGAGTGCAATGCAAAGTGTATTCGATTCCTAAGGGAAGTATGTCTTTTATCCAAGATAACGTATTTTCAGGTTATATGGCGAAAAAAGTAATAATAGGTTGTGTGGATCATGAAGCTTTTCATGGAACATTTTCGAAATCTCCCTATGATTTTAATCACTTTGATTTAAATTTTATTGGAGTGTATATAGATGGGCAATCTGTACCTCACAATCCATTGGAACTAGATTTTGCAAAAAGTCAATACATTCGTGCCTATCAATAAACTATGTTTGTGGGTACAGAACGAATGGGTCAAGATAAAGGAATATTTATTTCGAGAGAAGAATACGTGAAAGGAAATACTTTATTTGGATTTGATCTCTCCCCCGATTTATGTTCTGGAGAGCATTTAAATCTAATCAAACACAGCAACTTACGATTAGAACTGAAATTCAGCAAATCATTAGAGTATTATTTGTGTGTAATTATTTTTGCCGAATTTGAAAATTTAATAGAAATTAACAAGTCAAGAAATATTTTACACGATTTCGGAAATTAAAGAATGGATGGATTACAATTGTTTTATATTTTATCACGAGAGAAGATAACATCACCTTACTTTCAAGGAGTATTTTCAAGAGATACGATTCTTAATCTACAAGAAAATACATGTGCTATCATGAATTCAGATGACTCATCCCAACCAGAATCTCACTGGCTAGCATTATTTGTGAATGATGAAAGGGAATTAAAGTTTTATGACTCCTATGGAAGACCTCCCGAATTTTATAATATGAATACCTCTTCCTATTCAAATGTACAATGGAATTCCAAAGTTTTTCAATCACCTACGTCCAATGTATGCGGACAATATTGTAATTACTTTTTATTCAAGCGATGTCAAGATTATTCTATGTATTATATTTTAAATCGATTGCATATCAATGATTTTTTGATGTTTCAATTTGTAAAGAAACGATAAGGTGTAAGATTTGTTTTTAAAAAATAAAAGTAATTAAACTAAATAATTTGTGTCTTTCTTGTTTCTTTTAAGAAAATTTATACAAAATTTCTTGAAACTTTTATAGCTTAAATTATTATTTCAATGAGAAAAAAAATTATTTTTAAAATGTTTCAATACAAAAAAATTTTTTCATAAATTTAATTTTCTAAATTTATTTTTTACATAAAATTTTTTTTTCAGAAATTTTCCTTTCCAAACTATTTTATTTTTAGAAATTACTGTTTTAAAAAATTTTCTGCTTAGGAAGAAATATTTTTTACAAATTTTATTTTTTAAATTTTTTTTACTCTAGATTAAAAATATTTTGTAAAGTTTATTTTTAAATTTTTTTTTTTGAAGAAAAAAGAAATAATTATTTTAAA